GGTAAGAATAGTACAATATCTCTTCAATTTACTTCTGGTAAGAATAGTACAATATCTCTTCATTTTACTTCTGGTAAGAATAAGTAACATATAAAAAAGCTGTGTAAAAAATCTTTTAAACTTATATAATCTAATATAAGGAAGAAACTGTAGCCATAATATTATAATCTATTAATATTTGAAGATTTAAGTGTATGAATTAATGATATTGTTTTTTGAAAATCGGTGATTTAATGTTTGGATTTGATATATGTTGAAGTATGTATGTGTCTGTAAATACATTGGTGGGGTACAAATATATTCGTTACTGATGTAATCATTTCTTTATGTTTACATGCATTTAAAGTCAAAACTGAGTGCATATTTCTTTCTCTGCATTATTTACCAAGTAATATTGTACATTGCACTTTTAGTTGTGTTAGTTTTAATATCTTCATCTTTCTATCCATTCACAAGGATCATTCAGCATGAAAATAAATAGTAAGAATACAACAATTTGCTCTTAACTCACTCATGTTAACTTTGTTTCACAATTACATATAACAGTAGATTAAACTTTTTACTATCTCTCTCTCTCTAGAGTGATAGTTAAAATAAACATGCCTAGCCTTTTAGTAAATGTTATTTACATATAACAGTAGATTAAACTTTTACTATCTCTCTCTCTCTCTCTAGTGATAATTAAAATAAACATGCCTAGCCTTTTGTAAATGTTATTTACATATAACAGTAGATTAAACTTTTTACTATCTCTCTCTCTCTCTCTAGTGATAATTAAAATAAACGTGCCTAGCCTTTTGTGAATGTTATTTTTAAAATGTGCACTTAATTTCTTTGATAATATTTACTTTAGAATTTCAAGAGAGGTTAAGGATCAGATTTCTGAATTACTTGTTTTCATTTTTGGTAAGCCATTCAATAGGGGACAGGTTTCTAATGATTGGAGAATAGATAAGGTTATTCAATTTTGTCCAGAGAATTTTTTTTCAGTTAGTCTTACTTCAGTGGTGGGGAAAGCTTTAGAGAGTGATAAAAGCTGCTATGGAGAATCATGTGATGTAGTTCAAGTTTTGTCAGACAACCAAAATGGTTTTACAAAAGAAGATCCTTCTTAGGGTATTATTTTGTATCAGGATGAGGATAAAAAACTGGATTTGGTTTACTTGGATTTTAAGAAAGCTTCTGATTAGGTGCTGCGTAAAAGACTAGTGAAAATACGACTTTATGTAAGGGATAAGTCACTTGTATGGATTGAAGGGTTGGCAGGTGGGTGAAAATAAAAAGTTGTTACTAATAGAGCTGGGTGATTAACACGATTGATATTATTGATTACCTATAAGCATTGATTAGTGTCATGTGAAATAATAAGTTAATGATTAAATTGATTAAGATGATGAAAATAGTCAACTAATTAAAATTAGTGTTTTTAATTATTCAAACTATCCAAGTAATCAAAAAATTGCCATTATGAGTTATTATTATTATTTTTGACTGATTCAAGTGTCCTCAGCTTAATTGATTAGTGTCATGAAAATAATTGAAATTAGGGTGTCTGATTATTACTTTTTTTGGTTCCTGCTATTCAAGTAATGAAAATATTCTCATTATGACTTATTATTTTCTCATCATACTTTTTTTTCTATTTGTTCTCATTTGTTTAATTTGGGGCTGGCATTGCCCACTGATTAGAGGTTTGCCTCATGATTGAAGGTTCTTCGGTTCAATTCCTGTTACTACTAAATATACTTGCCCTTTAAGCCGTGGGGAGTGGTGTAATATTTGTTTTGAGTTATGTAAAGCTACTAAGGGTATCTACCACCTTCCTTAATTTTGAATTTTAGAACAGAGGGAAGGTAAATGGCCAGCAACACCACTGTTATCTCGTGGGATACTTTAGTGTTGAATAATATGTAAAATATTACAGTTTTTATGTAAATTATAATTTTTGTATCTGTATTATTTAGTGTTAAATAAGCTATAAATTTAGTTTTTTGTATTGTGTTTGTGTTATGTTTGTAATACATTTCTTTTTAATTTCTGAATGTGTGTTTTGATGTCTCAAACTCACACTAGCATTCTTGAACTTGTAACTCTGATCACGAGACAAATGCTTGCCGAGCAATGTTATTGACCCACTCAGTCATGCCAACCTTTAACATGTGATAGATTTACAAATGTAAATACACTAAATGAATAAACAATACAAAATCAATAAATTAACATTAAGAAATAATTTAATAGCTGTCAAAATATTATTTATATATTGTAGTCTATAGATACACTTAGAGACTTTGAAACGGTAAAAAAAATGTAAACAAGTACAAAAATATTTTAAGTTGGAAAACTAAACAGAAACTACTAATTTCAGTAAATTTTGTCATCTCTTATTACTCGGGAATTAGTAAAGTTTACTATATGTCTATATAGTTATCTAACGACCTGTAAAATGCTAATTGGAACTTTATTTTAGAACTTTTTTGCATTGTAAAGTCTTCTAACAATAAAGATTGATAGGAAGGTTTAAATAGTAATATGTCTTTGTGAGACAGAGAGAATAATGTTAATTCTCATATAAAGTGTTATCCAAGAAAATTTGAAATTGCATCAAGTATTGGTCAATGTTTGTATGACAGCATTAGCAGAGATTGAACACAACAATTCTGTGCACAGTTTCAATATTTGTGTTAGAGTCGTTTGTTTTTCAACTTTGTAAATTAAGCTTAAGTTGTTGTTGGGCAGGAAATGAAAACTATTTGATCAATTTGATTGACTCTCCTGGTCACGTGGACTTCTGTGGTGAGGTGTCAACAGCAGTACGATTATGCGATGGAGCTATAATTTTGGTGGATGTTGTTGAAGGCATTTGTCCTCAGGTTAGTTAAGTTTGTTTTTAATTTCACTTACATCTTTAAGATTGTGCATCATCAAATTTGTATAAAAGGGTTTTTCTCTGTCATCAAGAATCTGACACTGATCTAAAATATTTTTTATGAGTATTTTTCAATTCATATTTCAATTATTAGTCTATGTTTAGTCCTTCATTCTTGAAAAATGCATGAGGGCTGTAAATTGCCCTGCCAGTCAGTCCATGGGTGCTATTAGCAAACTAATGCCATATCTCAATTCTTTGTTTACAAAATTGGACAATAAAATTCATTTGTTTACAAACAACAGCTGACTGCATGGCCAATGCCATGACAAATAACAGGATTTTAATTCAAAAGTACGTATTTCTTGTAAAAACAGAAAGACCAGTAATAGACTCCAAACAGTGGGCATCACAGCAGACATAATTAGGGCTCAAACAAGCCCTTCAAAACTCACTTTATGGGTGCTTTCATGAAGGCCTGATGTTGAAGAAACGAGTAAGAGTTTTGAGTTGATAACCAGATATAAATTGTACGATAAATATAAAGCAACCGAGAAAAAGAGGTTTATTTACACAAGTGTTATAAGATTATTATTTAAATAAAATCATACCAAAAAGAAATATTTAAGTGAAGTTTGAAAGTAAATGTTGACCTTAAAATAAAGTATCGCAGAAGATCCAAAATACAGTATTGTAGAAGATCTATAACACGATTCATTCAAATCAAACACGATAACAAAATTTTCATCAATGAAAGTGTTTACACAACATTTTTAAACAATTTTCTTAGGATTAAGTTATAAAAGATTCTTTTAATAATAAATTTTTTAAATATTTGTATTCAGCTAGATGTTCGTGCAAATATAGTGTTTAATGTCAGTAAAAGTTGTGCTTCACTCTAGGATTAAGAATAAATGCAATATTATTAACAACTTAAGCTCATCTCAATAGTATAAATGAAGTGTGTGAATATATGCATCTATAAAATATACTTGATGGTTAAAAAGATTTACACAACAAATGTTCTTTGAGTGATGACACTTTGTTTTTTTTTCAACCAATTTTTAGTTAAAGTTTTCAGAAATAAAATTTTTGTGTTGTGTTGTATTTATCTTACGAAATAAAATGCATTGAATCTGTAAAAATAGAATTAAAATCTATAACAACTGTAATCGTGCAGATGTAAAGCAACAGTGGAAGTGTTGAGAGAAAGGTTGAGACATGATGACGTAGTTTGGTTTAACTCATTTTATTTCCAATAAATTACTAACCGAAGAAATATTTGTATTTGGCTATGTGTCACTGCATTTGTAATGTATCAAAACATCTAGCTTGACACAAAATTAGACATTGTAGCATGTTTAGAAAAGACCTATTTGTCAAGATTAGCGTATATGCTTAAAAAGTATTTTCTTAACAAAGAAAAAGGTGAGCGTTTGGTAGTTAGTATGACCCAATTAAATCTTGAACTTCTTAGTTTGAGTTCTTTTGCTGTAAAAAAGGCTTTTTACACATTGTGGCTATGGATGTACCATGAGAGAGATTGTTATATCCTATTGTTTGGTCAGACAAGAGTTGGGTGGTGAGTGCTATTGACAAACTGTCTTGTCTTTAGTCTATCAATTCAAAATTTGGGACAGATATGTGCAGATAGCCCTAGAGTACTTTATCTCCAACATTTTAAAACGAACAATTGAGTAATACTAGCTCGTACTAAATTTTCTGTTTTGTTAAGTGTTACTGTATTTACAAACACCTAACTTTATATATAGGGAAACGCCATAGCATCGTTAGTTACAAACATCTAACTTCATATAAAGGGAGATGCCATAGCATCGTTAGTTACAAACATCTAACTTCATATAAAGGGAGACGCCATAGCATCGTTTGTTACAAACACCTAACTTCGTATAAAGGGAGACGCCATAGCATCGTTTGTTACAAACACCTAACTTCATATAAAGGGAGACGCCATAGCATCGTTTGTTACAAACACCTAACTTCATATAAAGGGAGACGCCATAGCATCGTTTGAAAAAAAACGAAAAAAACTGATGATTTCTCCAGATAAGTCCATGTGTTTAAAATATTAGTTTTTGCTTTGTTTACAAAAAGTACTTGTATTTAGTTTCTTAAGAAGTTAAGTTTATACAGTATGCTACAAATCTTGTGGATTAATACCACATTAGACCTCCAGCATCTCTGAAGCATATACGGTTGAATTAACCCAAAATATTGTTGACCAGCCATTTTCATGTTGTCTCAGTTTCCCATTACATTTTTAATGCAGGCTGTTGTCTTTTTATTGTTTTACAAACATCAACTGCCTGTTCCTTATGTATATCATCATATTTTGATTTATTTCTGTACATTCCTCTCAATAAAAAAATTAAAAACAGATCTTAAAGACAATAGAAAAATTAAAGTTATAATGAAAATAAGAATAATCTATTTTTTCATTGATTAAATCTATTCAGGTATTGCTGGATTGTTAAAATGAGATGCTGTACTATTAATTCTAAAAATACACACAGCTCATTTTTAAGGCATGCTCTTCTCTCTCTCTCTAAGACATTCCGTTTTGTTTTCCCAGACAAAAGTTGCCCTTCGCCAGGCTTGGACAGAAAACATTCATCCAATACTGGTATTGAATAAGATCGACAGACTTATCATTGAGCGTAAATTAACTCCTTTAGATGCTTACGTTCATCTTCAACAGCTCCTAGAACAAGTAATGTTTTTTATTGTAAAATATGATGTACTGTATTTCTGTGATTTTCATGTTATCAAATTAAATTATATTGTTGTATTTATCCATGTAATCTTGATCCTGTTATCAAGCAAGCAGATGAATGTCCTTTTTATCTGAAGTTTTATTATTTGAATATAACAGTACAGTAAATATTTTTATTAACTTTTAATTGCATCTTGAAATCAATCAATAATTCTCACATGCAAAACTAAATTTCACTTCATTTCAAATGATTTTATGAAATAAGTTGTATTACTTGTTCCAATAAATGTGTACATATTATTGTGTTTGCTTATGTTTGTTTTTCACTCAGCTTCTATTTCTTTCTAAAAGGTTTTAAAATTATGTTGTGTTTTTTGTTGAAGCTACATTTATTGCTTGTGATCTCAGCTTATATAGTTACTTGTTATATTTAATATGCTGTTTTAAATCTGGCTTTTCTTCAAACTTTGAGACACTACAGTGTCTTTTTTTTTTACATTACGCTATCTTAAGTGCAAAAGTTAATTATATACTTATGATGTTTATCTTTTGAAAATCCTCATAATTAATCTTTGTGAATATCCTAAGAGTTGTACTTTGATTTTGAAAAACAGTGATTCTTCATGTTTTAACCTTACACTGTTTTTTGTCTGTAATTCAGAGGTTGAGTTTGTTATATTAAAATTACGTGGGAGCCTCATCACAATGGTCTCTATTGCAATGTCCAGTCATGCTCTATATGACAGTTGTGCATCTTGACTGTAGCCCTACAGCACAGTTTCAATTGCAAAAGACTCCACTGTACACCTGCGATGTTCAACGCACATCAATCCTCCCTTCTGGTTTTCTGTAATCAAACTATTGTGTGAAGACGATGGTTTCCCATCACCTTTTTCAACAGTTTCTATGTATGATGATTTGACTGCTTTGTCTTCATATGGAATTGCACGAATATCCATTTCTCCAGATGCTTTAGGCATGCAGTGATTGATCTGATATGTCAGGGAAGCAGTTTATGTGCATGTGACTTTTTTAGATGAAGATCTTTCTTGATTATATTGCGTACTGTTGCTTAAAGCATGAGGATGTCTTTTTTTTTTCCCCCACTGCTGTTTGTGTTCATGGATTCTTGCTTGTTACAAGACACTGCACTTTGCTTATCGTGGCTGGAGTACAACTTTTTGC